ATAGGTTTAACAACACGAACACTACAGGAGACAAGTCTGAAATTGCTCTGTTACATATCTGCTTGTTTGTTAATTTCCCATAGAAATTCTTTCCAAGAAACTCCAGGAATACAAGTCCTTTCTTAATTAAAACTAGTTTATTCTTTCTTGATACAACTTTGCAATACACAGAATTTCCACAGTCAATATGTTTGCAATCTCGATAACTAAACACTTTATATTACCGTCACTACTGCTCACTTGACTCAATTATCTGTCTCTATATCTATCTATCTGCAAATTATCTCTCCACTTCATTTGCCGGACTTATATACTAAAAAAGAGGGCACCTGGAACAGACTAGAGTTGTTAGGAAAACTCATGATCCTTCTAGAAACTCCAGCACATATGTTTCCAGTGTCGCGTGACTTCTGCTGTCGTAACAATGCCCCTTCCTTGGTATTGTTTGTCCCAAACAATAGCCACTTACATTAAACCAATAATTAACAATAACTTAATTTAATGTACAGAATTTACAAACACAAAATTAAAATTCAACAAAGTCTCTTCATTTTATGGGACATATCTTCTTCCATACTGGTCTACGTCTCATCTTCTGCTTCACGTGGGGTTTATCTGCTCCATCAGGAAATGTTCCATTATCGGTAATAGTCACATCAGTGGTAATAACTTCATTAACGGCTTCACTGTTTCCCTTCTCTAAACCGAGTAGAGTTTCTTCTTCGACAGTGGCTTTTTTCAGGTGACACATCTTGAGCAGCATCATTTGTAACGTTGTTCCTTTCGTTTCAACTGAAATGTCTTGGACCATGATAACACCAAAGTCTCTTGGCATGCACCATCTTTGGCTTACCACATCGCCGACCACATTTTATTCGGAAAGTCACGTCTGAGAGACGATCCACTATGTCATATGGGCCTTCCCATGGAGAAGACAACTCTTTGGTTTTACTGGGATTACACAACCACATCGTGTCTCCTGGTACAAAGCTGACTTCAGTAGATCTCTTATCATAACATAACTTCATGGAATCACCAGACGTTTTCAAGTTTGAATGCACTTCATGGTGAATATTATCCATCCTTTCAAATCATACTTTCACGAACTCTGACACATTTTCAGGCAATTCTTCGTAAGGTGGGCGTCCTGTTATCAGATACACTGTCAACCAAGGTTCCCGACCAAACATCAGCTTTGCTGGAGTGTATCCAGTGCCTTCATGCTCTGCTGTTATATAAGCCATCAATGGTGGAGGGAGTAAGACATCCCAGTCATCTTGGCAACTATTACAAAACTTTGCCAATTCCTGTCCCAGTGTCCAATTGTACTTTTCTACCATCCCATCAGAATGTGGGTGAAGTGGCGTTGTCCTGATCTTTCGTATGCTAAACAATTTGCAGCATTCATGGAACACAGCTGATTCAAAGTTACAGCCTTGATCCAAATGCAGTTGGTATGGCATGTCAAATCTGAAGAAGAAATCACTAATAGCCGAAGCTACAGTCGTAGCTTCCTGATTTGGTATTGCATATGCCTCAGGCCACTTGCTGAAATAATCCATCACCACACAAATGTACTTGTTTCCAGCACGAGTTTGGGGCAAAAGACCAGCAATGTCAACAGCTACTCTTTCCATTGGTGCACCAACTTCATATAACTTCGTTGGAGCACGTCTCTTATGCTTTGGTCCCCTTTTTGCACATCATGTACTGCAGGTTCTGAACCATTCTTCCACATCTTGCCTCACATCTATCCAGTAAAATCTCTGTCGTAGGTGAC